CATTTCGCATTCCTACCAACAATGGGTGAAAGTCCCTATTTCCACCACAGTCTTACCAAAAGAGTGTTTTATCAAATACATGGATTTTTGCTAATGCAATAAAAAAACGTCATTTCAGTATTGTCTTAATTTTCTTTTCTCTTATTCTATGTGAAGTTGAACATCTGCATATGTGTTTAAATTCTTACCATTTTCTTTTTGGGGATCTGTCTGTTATGTTTTTCACATTTTTTATTGAACTATTGGTCTTTCTTATCAATATGTGGAAGCTCTTTAACTAGTAGGGATACTAACACTTTGTATATGATAAGAATTGCAAATATTTTTTTCCAGTTTGTTGTTTTTCTTTTGATCTTACTCTGATGTTTTGCCATGCAGACTTTTTTTGTGTGTACAAATGCATTAATCTTTTATTTATAGCTTCTGAGTTTTGAGTTGCAGCTGGAAAGGCCTTTCTCACTCCAAGAGTTATAAAAGACTTGCCCATATTTTCTTCTGTATTTTTTGAAATTTATCCTGACAATTGTTGTGATCCATCGCCTTTAGAATGAAGTTTAAGGCCAGGGTTATGGCATGGATATCCTTGGGTCACCCATGTAGAGAGGAAACAGGAAAATCAGTAGCTGGTTTAGGAAATTCTCAGCGGGGGGGTGCATCCTGTTTGGGACATGTTGAGTTTAAGATGCCTGTGGGACCTCGAATGTCTAGGAGGCAAGTAGAGTCCAGGGTCTGGAACTCAAGAGAAAATTTTGAGTTGGAGATATGGATTTGGGAGCAGCATATGGATGTCAGTTAAAGCCATATGAACATGTGTAGAGTTTGAAGAGGAGAGGTTCTCAGATGAAGCTCTAGGAAGTGACCAAGGTCAGGCCCAAAGCACGTCATGAGGAAAGAGTTGTGGGGTTTCATCTCTGTGGCCCTTGGGGCTTGGCACAAAAACAGCCCCCTAGACATTTGTGGGGTGAACGGAGGCCCTTTACTTGAGACACGCATGAATATCTCTGTCTCCTGGGAGCACAACTAACCAGGAGACAGAAGAGGACCGGCAACTTTCCCGGTTGTCAGCCCTGACCCAGAGGCGTAGAAGGGAGACCCTGTGACGGGAGGGGAGGAGGCTCACCCTCACAGGCAGTCTGCCCCTCCTTTCACCGATGACCCAAAGCAGAGCATCAATAGGTGGCAGCAGGTCCCCAAAGGTGGCTGGAACATTGGGAGCCATCTCTGATTAGTATTTTCCTTGGATCATAGTGTAGTGGTTAAGACCATAGACTCTGGAGCTCACTCTCTGGGTTCAAATCCTGGCTCTCTCATTTACTAGTGTGTAACTTTGGACAAGTTACTGAATATCTCTGTGCTTCAGTTTCTATTATCTCACAGAATTGATATGAAGATTAAATAAGTAAATATTTATGAAGTGCTTATATTGGTACCTGGTATGGTAAATTCTATATAAATTTTATATTAAAAAGAAATAATTTCGCCCTGGCTGAGTAGCTCGGTTGGATTGTCATCCTGATACACCAAGGTTATGGGTTCAATCCCTTGTCAGGGCACATGCAAGAATCAACCAATGAATTCATAAATAAGCGGAACAACAAATCTCTCTCTTAAATCAATACATAAACATTTAAAAAGAAATAATTTCATTCATTTATGAATATTTATTGAACAGCTACTTTGCGCCAGGCATGGTTGTAGGTGCTGGGGACACAGCAGTGAATAATGCAGGTGAAAATCCCCGTCCTCATGGAGTTTACATTATAGCAAGGTGGCAAGGAGGGGTAAAGACAAACAATATATAAAATAAATAAGCTAAATATATGGTGTGTAGATCAAGGGGAGGCATGAGAGATTTGCAGGAGTTAGCAAGGCCACTAGCCCAGGACCTGGCGCACAGTGGGGTTCAGGAGATGGAGAGGGGAGGAGACCCTGGACAATCAGCAGAGTGGGACCCCTGGCAGAGACACTGGGGCTGCTGAAGCCCTCACAGCAACAGCCATCATCACACTGTCATATAACAGCGGCGACAGCCCTTCCATAGCGCTTATTCCGTACCAGGCACTGTTCTATTCACTTTACTTATATCACCGTATTTAATCCTTACAGCAGCCCTATGAGGTTGGTACTGTTATTGTTCTCATTTTTCAAATGAGAAGTTTACTAACCTGCTTTACAGAGTTATACAGTAGGCGAACAAGCTGGGATTCTAAGTCAGGACATCTAGCTCCAGCGTTGGTAGGATGGACCTACAAGTGGAAGGGACACGGCAGGCTGCTGAGCCTCAGATCAGGTAGGGCCTGACCTTTATATGCACTGGAAGGAAAACATGCAGACATCACCACCACTCACATATCCAAGACCCAATATATTTAATACACACTTCAAGGCTGCTCAGTGGACCTTAGTAACAAAGGGCCGTGAAACAAAGACAAGGATTCCGCTCTGGAAAGCCCCATCCCCGGAGCCATTCCCCCTAGATGGCCCCCCCTCATGCCCTCCACGCCCCACTCCACAAGCCTTTGGGCCAGCCTCCTGGCACCTTAAGTCACCATCCCAAAGCTCTGTTATCCTACCCAAAGACCACAAATAAAATGGTGAATATCATAATGCTGGGCAATTTAACAAAGGCAACAACTCCAAATCACAGTTGGGGACCAAGAAGGCAAGTCATCAAAAGGCTGAGAAACAGAGAGAGGCAGGTGGGGCTGCTGGGCCCAGAGAGTGCTGAGCTCACAGCAGTAAAAGTCAGCAGAGGGGAACCACTCAACATGTCCCAAGACCCTTCCGTATCCTTCCTAATTTCACTTGATATTGTTCAATTTTTATCTTAGGCAAGGCAGAAATTACCCGACCAAGTTGTCCAATGGAGAAATTGAGTCCCAGAGGGGAGCAATGAATTACTTAAGAGCATACCAAGGACTAGGAGTCATCTGTCCAAAATTCCTTCCTCTGTACCACACAGAGAGACAAAGTATGAGAGACACAGAGAGAGAGAGTGAGAGAGAGGGGTGGGAGAAGAGGGGCAGGGAGGTAGAGGTTGATATAGAAGACCCACGAGCAGAGAAATCCTTCCTCAGGATCTTCTAGGAATCCACGGAACAGGGCTTGGCCTCCTGAAACCCCTCCAACCTTCCATTTCCCCTGGTTGATCAGAGTGGCAGTAGCCTCATTCCCTCATTCCTGACCCCCAGCTGAGCTGGATTCTAACGGCTTCAAAAAGAAGAATCAAAGCCTCTCATATAGAATAAGACAGCATTTGACAGTTTTCAACCTCATAACCACTGAACTTTACGGCAGGGAATACCCATAAAGATTACCTCCCCATACCCCTACTGCCACCCATTGTACAGATGGGAGATCGAGGCCCAGAGACAAGTGATTTTCCAGAAGGTCACAGCAACTCAGTCATAGGAATCTAGGTTTTCTTACCAAGGCATACTAGAGAGGGGCCATTCCTTCCCCTACTTCAATCTTCATATAAGCTCCCTGCAAAGAGCTGTGGGGTCCAGGAGACTCAATATTCATTCCAGGTATGCTGAGAATCAGTCAGTGGCTTTGGGACTCCTCCTATTGAACGTAAGTTCCACAAGTGCAAGGCATTTTTATCTGTTAGGCCCTGATGTATCATCTCCCGCCCCTAGAACAGTGTCTGGCCCATAGTAAGTGCCCAATAAATATCTATTGAATGAACTTCTAGAAGGCCAGGGTTAGAGAAGTGCCACTGTGAGAGCCTGAAGCCTAAGAGAAAACCGAAGAACCATTAGCTTTATCTTCAGACACATGAAGGCTAAAATTCTGTCCACAAATATTTGTTGAGGGCCCATTAGGTACAGAACTAGGCGCTGGGGACTCCGTAAGAACAAGACAGTCATGCCCTGACTTCAAGTGCTCACAGTTCACCATAATGTGGGATGTGTGTGTGGGCCCCGGAGGGTAGCCCAGGTGCCAGGCAAACTGCTCAATATAATACAGACGCTTTTCTCAGCCAGGGCTGCCCCGAACGGTCTGTTGCTCGGAAGGCGGTGAGTGCAGGGGGCTGCAGCGTTCAAGCGGGGGGCCAGCCGCCCACTGCAGCCAAAGGCTGCGCCGGGCGCACGCAGGGAAGAGACTGCTGCCTTGAGTGAGGTCACTTCCCACCCCCAGACTCTCTGCCTTCAAAACCCTGCAAGTCTGACACTCGATCATATTATTTTCTGAATTTCAAGGTCCCACGATGCAGACAGCCCCAAATTCTAACTCTTCAGTCTGCCCACGCCTCTGGACCCAAAAGAAATAGAGCCGAATTCATCAAGGGTCCCACCACCCACTGCCACAAAAGGTCTGTGCGGTTAGTCAGCGCCCCCTCCCCGCCTCGTGGGAGCTGGAGGGGCGCAGTTCGGGCGCCCCGGGACGTAGTGGGGATAGGGGTGCTCCAGAGACCGAGTTGACAGCAGCCTGGACACGTGACAGTCAAAGCGTCACGTTCTGTGGTCCCGGAGGCTGGGACCCAGCCGGTCACATGATGCGGGGGTGCACCGTGGGGTGATGTGAGATGCACGGCCCCTCACATTACGTACGAATGATGCATTCCTGCTGCTTTTGGCAACAAGATTGCCGTTGGAAATGCGACAGTTCCGGCAAAGGGGGCGGGCCCTCACATCCTGGCAATCTTGCTTCCGGTCGGGGCGCCGCAACTTCCGACCTCCGCCTTTTCCTGGCCGCGGGAGGAGTCGCGACGCCGTGCGCATGCCCCGAATCGTCCAAAAGGGGGAGGGGCCTAGGCTGCGGGAGCGGGAGGGGGGGAAAGGAAAGGGAATTCCAACCTGTGGAACCCCGGGGGTCCCCGTGGTTAGCACCTTCCCATTGGCTGTGGATGGTGTCGGGGACAGGGCCTGTGGCGGCTCGTGGGGGGTTCTGGGGCCCGCAGGGCGGGGGCGGAGAGGAGTGTCAGGGTGTGAGGGGAGTCCGGGAGTTCCAAACTTAGAATCTCGAGGCCCTCGGGGCTCAGGTGCCGGGGAGAGGGCGCTCGGGCCGCCATGCGCGACAGGACCCAGGAGCTGAGGCAGGTGAGAAGTCGGGGCCCGGGGCTGGGACGGAGGACGGGCGGGGTCCGCCTGGAAGGCAGGATTCTGGTCTCCGGGGCAGGGAGGGGTGGCTGAGGGCTGGGAAGGAACGACCCGGAAGCCTGAGCCCTGCGGGGAGAGAGCGACAGCAAGGCAGTGATGCCAGTGACCCCGGCCCTGGCAGGGGGATGACAGCTCGGACGATGAGGACAAGGAGCGGGTCGCGCTGGTGGTGCACCCGGGCACCGCACGGCTGGGGAGCCCGGACGATGAGTTCTTCCAGAAGGTATGAGGCTGGGGTCTCCGCCTGGCTTCACAAGGGGCTGGAGGACCCGAGAAGCAGCGTGGTCTGGAGTACCCTCCTGTCTCCTTCCGTCCTCTCGGTCACCCTCCCCAGGTCCGGACAATTCGGCAGACTATTGTCAAGCTGGAGAATAAAGTCCGAGAGCTGGAGAAACAGCAGGTCACCATCCTGGCCACGCCCCTTCCTGAGGAGAGTGAGTGAAAACCTGGGTGCAGACCGCATGCTCGACCAGAGGGATTTTGGGTATTGTAGTTCCGCGCAGGTGGTGGCAAGGGAGATCTGTTGATGTAGGGACTGCTTCTTCTGTTCAGGCATGAAGCAAGACCTGCAGAACCTGCGCGACGAGATCAAACAGCTGGGAAGGGAAATCCGCGGGCAGCTAAAGGGTGAGCTCCTAGGACCTGAGACAGACCCTACCCTCTGGTCCTGCCCAGCTCCTGATATATCTGGGGAGTGTGTGGCCCAGAGAGGCCGGTGATATAAACAGGTTACACAGCGGTCTAGAATCTCCATCTCCTGGCTTCCAGCCCATAGCACTTTCCACAGCACATGCCTGCGTCTCTGGTTCTCTTATTTACTATGAAACCATTTACTCCTAAAATTCTTCCTGCCCAGTGTGCATTCTTTGGGCAGGTATTTGGGGGTTTTGTTAGGAGGGGCCTTTGCATACTTCTGGGAATTATCTTATGTATTGCAAAGAAAAATATACTTTCCCCTGTCAGAGGCTTAGAATTAATCATTTAATGATAAATTATATTTCCTGAAAAAATCATATGGCGATAAGCATCTCTCTTGTGTGGCTGGGGTATGACTCCCGCCCTGTGCCCTGATCCCCAAACAATTTTTAGAAGCTACATGTCAACCCCCCACCCCCACAATACCTTGTGTCTTCCCACAGCCATAGAGCCCCAGAAGGAGGAAGCTGATGAGAATTATAATTCGGTCAACACAAGAATGAGAAAAACTCAGGTGGGTTTGTTATTCCCAGAATTAGGACATTTTAGCAAGTGTTTTATAGATTATGAGATGACAGAAGGAAGAAGGGAGGGACTCGGAGATCATCAAGTCCAACCTAATGATTTTCCAAATGGGGAAACTGAGGCTCAGAGAAAGGACTTACCCAAGGTCAAGAATTCCCAATCCATTGTAACAGTCTGCCTTTTTCTCCATTCAATGAGAAGTTGCTGAGTTGCCAGATATGACCTGGGCTCAGCTGTGGGAGACATGCTTTCTAGGAGCCAAGTTGGGAAGTTAAGCTTGAGTAGGTGATGAAGACATTAGTGAGGTAGGACTTGTTAGCTAATGGCTCTGCCCAGGGAAGAAGAGGGAACAGCCATAAGTGACTGGGAGGTTTCCTGCCCACATGACTGAGACATCTTCTTCCCCATGGGCAGAATTCAAGAAGTCAGGAAGTAGAACTTCCCTGGGAGGGAAGTCACTGAACCAACATCCTAGGAAGGAGATTTGAGGTGATCTGATTGGCCTCTTCTGGGTGCCCAGTGAGGAGTGGTTTGGAGTTCTTGGAGGTCAGAGCTGGAGTAGGTGGGCCCAGAGTTCAGCAAAGAACCCAGCTTGAAGGTGGAGCAGTTTGGGCATCTTGAAAGGGTGCACTGAAGCCACGAGAACAGTTGTGTCTCTGAGGAAGACACTCCAAGGAATAAGGCATCAGGGAAATGAACAAGGCGAGAGGGCATTTCAAGGGGAGCCGGTGGTGGTCATCAGTGTAAGAGGCTGAGGGCCCAGCTGGACCTGTAAAGTCTGGGCAACAGACTGAAGTCCAGGCATACCAGCACACCCCTAGTCTAAGCAGTGAAGCTGGTGTTCAGCAAGCATTCAACAAGTATATATTGAGTGCTAGCTGTTTGGGCTACAACAGTGAACCAAAGATCCCTGTCCTCGTGGAGCTTACATTCCAGTGGGGAGAGACAATCACCATAATAAATAAGTAAATTACTTTAGAACATCATTAAGTATTAAGGAAAAATGTGAAGGAGAAGATGGATTGAAAGTGCTGGGAGAAGGCAGGTTGCAATTTCAATAAAGTGGAGAAAACTGCATTCAGAAGGTAACACTGGGACAAAGACTTAAAGGCCTTTGTGGGGCATAAGCATTCTAGGCTGAAGGAACAATGAGTGCAAAGGCCTGAGGTAGGGGTGTGCTTTGTTCAGGGAGGAGGAAGGAGCCCACTGCGGTTGGAAGAAATAAGGGGGGGACAGTGGGAGGAGGTAAGGTCAGAGGGGAAACTGGGGAGGGGCAGGTCATGTAAGGCCTACAAGGCTCTGGTAAGGGCTTTGGCTTTTACTCTGAGAGAATGGGGGACCCTTTCAAGTTGGTAAAGCAGCAGGCACCTAACAGCTCAGGCTGTTTGCTTGCTGTGCCGGTGGGGATGCTGAGGCCCAGACTGGGCAAGGGTCCTCCCGGGGCTCCCAGCCTATGTTCTCCATCTGTAGCATGGGGTCCTGTCCCAGCAATTCGTGGAGCTCATCAACAAGTGCAACTCAATGCAGTCCGAGTACCGGGAGAGGAACGTGGAGCGGATTCGGAGGCAGCTGAAGATCAGTGAGTTGTGGGACCTGGCCCACAGAGAGGGCTGGCCTGACCCAGCTCTAAACCTGGCATTTTCCTTCGTAGCAAATGCTGGCATGGTGTCTGATGAGGAGCTAGAACAGATGCTGGACAGCGGACAGAGCGAGGTGTTTGTGTCCAATGTGAGTGGCCACAGCCAGCTTCCCTCTGCTGGGCCTCCCGTCCTGTCCAAGCTCTGGCCCTTTTTGATTGAGGGGATACTGAGGCCCAGAAGGGAATGAATTTGCATGCCTGGAGTCACTCAGCAGGACCCTGGCCCAGTTCTAGACTCAAGGGCTGCCACAAAGATCAACAGGAACTTCTGACCTGCTGCTGGTTTCCCTGTTACCTGTCCCTCCACTCCTGTCCACTCCCCAGATACTGAAGGACACACAGGTGACTCGACAGGCCCTAAATGAGATCTCGGCCCGGCACAGTGAGATCCAGCAGCTTGAACGCAGTATTCGTGAACTTCATGAGATCTTCACTTTTCTGGCTACTGAGGTGGAGATGCAGGTGGGCAGCCCAGGGAGCTGGCTGAGCTTGACCCAGATCCCAGTTGTGAGACCATGTTCCATCAGAGCTCCAGCCGGAACTGTCAGCCCACCTCCACTCAGTCTCTCTCCCCGAGGCTTTTGACCCCCTCCCTCTGGGCCATGCCCTCAAGACTGGTCCTTACTTTCACCCTTAGCTGTGCCCCAGAATTTCACCCACCTCTACAGCTACCCAGATGGCCACTCTTCTCTGCACAGTATTCCCCACCCCTGCCCCTTGACCCCACCCTATGCATGCTCCCAGCCCAGGCTCCTCCTCCACCAATAGAATATACCTCTAAGAGCTCTAGTCAGAGTTGCCCCCTAGAGGGCCTGTCTCCTAAAACTGTACAAGGTTGGGGTGGGCAGTGATTCTTGGGGTGAGGGGAGCTTCCAGCCCTGTCCTGGAGGAGCTGACCCACTAGCACTGCAACCAGTACGTTTTGTAGCTGGGAGTCGTGGAGGGGATTTCATTCAGGATGCCAGAACCTGGAGGCTGGTGATGCCAGGAGGAGGCAGGGATAGGAAGCACCTCACAGCTATTGGGAGAAGGCCTGGAAGAATGGGCAAATTCAGTCATGTTTGTGAGGGGACAAAAGGTCACACTCTGTGAAAAGGTGTGAACTATTTAAGGCCCTTGGCTCCAGGACACCGCTGCAAATAAAGGTTATGTGGGTGAAGGGAGCAGGGCAGAAGGCACCTGAGGATAGAAGGAGGCCTGGAAGCCACCCTCAGGGGTGCGAACTGGTCAGATGTGGTCCTGCCTCTGTGCCTTTGTTGGTGCAGTGTTTTCTTCCAGGGATGTCCTTTGGGGCAGAGTGGGCTACTGGGTCCTCCTCCCCCACTCGTCCCTACCTGCCTGAGCTCTGCCTCCTCCAAACAGGGGGAGATGATCAACCGGATTGAGAAGAACATCCTGAGCTCGGCAGACTACGTGGAACGTGGTCAGGAGCATGTCAGGATGACTCTGGAGAGCCAGAAGAAGGCTCGGAAGGTGAGCCTCCCCTCCCCTCCCTTCCCCTGGGTGGCCCTCCCTCCTCTCCTGAGTGAGTTTCCCTGACCCCCTCTTCTCCCACAGAAGAAAGTGATGATTGCCATCTGTGTGTCCATCACTGTCCTCATTCTGGCAGTCATCATTTGCGTCTCCATATTGGCTTGATAGCATCATACATTCTCGGTGAGATATTGTGGGCCTGTTCCCTGGCCTGCCCCATCCCCAGCCCCAGCCTCTCTTCCTCTCCTCAGACCCTCTTCTCCCTCCTTCCCTTGCAGGCACTAAGAGCACCAGGGACCCAGGGCCTGCCTTCTCTGCCAGCAACTGGGCAGGGGCAGAACCTCCAGCCAGACCCCCTTCCTCACCCTCACCTTGTGCAGAGGGGCAGACGGTTCTTCTGGGGTTGGCAGCCACTCGTTCATGGCGCCTCCCCCCTTGGGCCACAGTGCCTGGCGGAGGGCCTGCAGTGTCCTGTTTGGATGGACACATGGTTTTGTAAGAAATTAAAAAAAAAAAAAAAGGTTGGAGACTCCCCTGTGCATGTGTGTTCCTGAAGGGGCTGGCCCAGGACCCCTTAGGTATCCAGCCTTCCACCTCCTGGCCATCCTGCCAGGCCCAGCCTAGGCAGGCTTCAATCAGACTGTTCTAGGCACTGTGACTACAGCACATTGGCACTACCCTTCTACTTCCCACAGGAACAGGTGGGGCTGGGAAGGGTAACGCCCACATCTGTCTCAGCACTGTCCCTAGGGAAAGACCACTGTGGGTACCTAACCCTGAAGCAGTGAGGCTGGGCCTGGCCAGGCTGGGACACAGGTGAGATATATGTGTATAG